AAACTTCATTATTACTGAAGCTAATTTTTCATTATATCACCCTATTACATTATTGTTTACTTGGAAATTGTGGTATTAACAACGTGTTATTCCTAAAGTTGAACCATTTAAAACAATTCAGAAAAGTTATTGGTTGCCTAAACTTCATTAAGAATATTTTCAAGCATTTTATCCTCTTTATCCATAAAATGGTAAAATACAAATATAATATTATATAATCTGCGACACACACACCTCCCGTGGCCACGCCAGGTGCTGGTTTAGGGGATGAGGGAAAGTTTGGGCACGCGCTCTTAAAAAAATTCGTCATCCCTGCCCAATTTTGTTTTGTATTAATACATATAGGTACATGTGCATTTGTGCAGCGGCCCTAGACTATATGAAGGGGAGTACAGTGTGTGTGTGTCAAGAACTAGCTGCCCTAGACTATATGAAGGGGAGTACAGTGTGTGTGTGTCAAGAACTAGCTGCCCTAGACTATATGAAGGGGAGTACAGTGTGTGTGTGTCAAGAACTAGCTACCATAGACTATATGAAGGGGAGTACAGTGTGTGTGTCAAGAACTAGCTGCCCTAGACTATATGAAGGGGAGTACAGTGTGTGTGTGTCAAGAACTAGCTGCCCTAGACTATATAAAGGGGAGTACAGTGTGTGTGTCAAGAACTAGCTACCCTAGACTATATGAAGGGGAGTACAGTGTGTGTGTCAAGAACTAGCTACCCTAGACTATATGAAGGGAGGGTACAGAGTGTGTCAAGAACTAGCTGCCCTAGACTATATAAAGGGGAGTACAGTGTGTGTGTGTCAAGAACTAGCTACCCTAGACTATATAAAGGGGAGTACAGTGTGTGTGTCAAGAACTAGCTACCCTAGACTATATAAAGGGGAGTACAGTGTGTGTGTCAAGAACTAGCTACCCTAGACTATATGAAGGGGAGTACAGTGTGTGTGTCAAGAACTAGCTACCCTAGACTATATGAAGGGAGGGTACAGAGTGTGTCAAGAACTAGCTAAGTGATACTAAAAATCCCCCCCATCACACAAGATGGTTAGTCATACAGAGGCATGTGATCAGTAGCCTGCACTGACATTTTTTTTTTTTTTTTTTTTTTTTTTTTTATTAAGATATGAGGTACATCTGCATTAGTGCAGCTACCCTAGACTATATGAAGTGGAGTACAGTGTGTCAAAAGAGCTAACTAGGTGATGCTAAAAAATCCCCATCACACAGGATGGTTAGTCATACAGAGGCATGTGATAAGCGGTCTGCACTGGCAGACTCCGGATGCATTTTGAGGATATCAACAACACAAGATTGAATAAGGTAGCAGTGGTAATACAAGTCCACATCTCGCAGGATGGTTAGTCATACAGGGCCATGTGTTTAATAGCCTGCACTGGCAAATTTTGACCGATTTTTGTTGTGTAAAAGTCTACGTTTTCATATCTTCACGTTTCACATACATTGTCGCTAATCACGTCTAGAGCTGAGTTCCCTACCAGAGTAAAATGGTTAGTGTGTCTGAGGAGCGGCTTACAACATTGGCGGGCGCGTGTAGGGCGAGGTGATAACACCCACACCTAATGACCTGTAGTTGTTGACACAAGACTGTAGTTATTGTGACTAGTTATCCACCATGGGTGTAGTACAAGGACTCGACTCTCACCAGGTGCCACCATGGGTGTAGTACAAGGACTCGACTCTCACCAGGTGCCACCGTGGGTGTAGTACAAGGAGTTATCTACCATGTGTGTGACGAAGGGGCCACCATGGGTGTAATATCAGAGGTTACCTAACATACGTGGGTGACCTCCCAGCATAAACCACTCCCCTGTAGCACCGCCTGTTATGTACAGCGCCCACCCATGTCTCACACTTTTCTCTTAATTTGCAAAATGGTATAACGATGTGCAAATTATGCAGTCAGGAAACCCCGTGTACGTTTCTGTATGGAAATGAGCTAAATTCAGAAGTGCAATTTTGGTTGAGATGAAGAATATTGCTTGCGTTAACTTCATCAAGTTAGAGCCCGGTGGATTATGGTAATGAACTTAATGAAGGAAAACTTAATTTAAGTTTTTATGTGTGCAGTTAGTGGAGAGAAAAACGGCCCCGGGGCGCCTTATTGATGTGAGTTATGCGTTAATGTTGTAGTGATGAGACGCCGCGTTGGTGATGTGGTGTAAGATGATGAGCAGGTTACTGTGATCATCATACATCATGCATCATCATGCATGAAAGGTATCTTTGTTGTATTTGGATGAGGAGGTGGAGGTGACGGCACTCTAGGTCAGCAAGGTCACAACACCATATAGGCAGGTCACCATCTGCCACCCTCAGTATTGACCACCGTACTCTGGGGCGGGTGCTCGTGTTCAGAGCTCGGCAAAAATAAGATTGTAATCTACCGCTTATGTTGCTTCCCGCTCGCGGCGTTGGTGTCATTCCCGCTCGCGGCGTTGGTGTCATTCCCGCTCGCGGCGTTGGTGTCATTCCTGCTTGCGGCGTTGGTGTCATTCCCGCTCGCGGCGTTGGTGTCATTCCTGCTTGCGGCGTCGCTACTGTTTTTGTTTGAGACGTTGCTACTGCTCCTGCTCGCGGCGCTGCTACTGTTCCTGCTCGCGACGTTTCTACCTTTCTAACTACTGCTGCTCACGGTGCCACTTCGCAATAACGTCACTTCCCTTAAAGATCTCCATGGCGCTCCCAAAAGACTCTCCTGGATCGAGAAAACCCTGGAAAACCAATCGGATTCCAGGGAAACTCATTGTCGCTTTCCAGGGGTAATCTGGAAAGAAGTGGAGCCTCGCGAGCCGCCAGAGATTCACTGCTGATAGTTGGCCCCCTCCTGGCTCTATTGCCCCCTCCAGCAACACCCACATCCCCTTCCCCCTCCCCTTCGCTTCCCCCTCCCCCTCCTTTCCGTGTGACCAAACCCACACTACGCCCCCCAACCTCCTCCTGGCTGTGGGGGGCTCCTTCCACCGTCCCTCACCCCCCACCACCCCCCCCTAACTTGGCACTATGCCCCCCCCCCCACACACACACCCTTCCTCTATTTAATGCAACTTATCAGTAAATGTAAATCACTCGCATCTTCCTCGCTAAATGACTCACATTTAGAAAACTGATTTTTCACCCAAAGTCATGATCAATTTCCTGTGGGATTTTCTTTCTCTCTTTTTTTATTGTAGTCCTTAGACTGGAAATTGAAGGTGTGGCGATGGCCGGAGACTCCAGCTCCCGGCCCACCTCACTCAGAATTTGTTTTCCAACTGCCCATTGATTACCGACAGTGTGGCTAAAACAGTGTTTGTTCTTTGGTCTCCGCTAGACTCAGTGAGCAAGTGGAGAGGGCTGCGTGAAATTATTTGCCTGAATTTACCCGAGGGCCACTAACTTTAGTGACCTCGACGGGGACAGGAACCTGGCGGCTTGACAACGGCCCCCCCCCCTCCATTGTACCTGTGGAATTTTATGTTTACTGATTTGTCATACGCGTTGGTATATTAAGTGATTAGTGTATTGTGCATAGCTTAAGAGTGTGTCAAGGCCAGGTAGACAGAGACCGGATGCTTGCCCATTGTAAAGACCTTTTTAAAATAAATTAATTTTAATTAACTAGGTTACATGGGAAAGAGTCTCGTAAGGTATCAATAGGGGCTTCCTAACATGGGCCAGTAAGCCTTCTGCAAATGTGTCTGTTCTCATGTTCTCGTGTAACATGGCAGTGAAGGCAGGAGGTTTAGAGTAATTGCAGGTTAAGTGTTTGAGTTGTGGATTGTATGCTGTTGAGAACAGCTGTGTGCAACACCGGACACTTGTGGAGCGCTCAAGTGCATTGTTTGGCTCAAGTAAGTCTTGCCTAGTGGCCATACTCCTCCCTCCACCCTGCTTCTCTCTCCTCCACCCTGCTTCTCTCTCCTCCACCCTTCTTCTCTCTCCTCCACCCTGCTTCTCTCTCCACCACCCTGCTTCTCTCTCCACCACCCTGCTTCTCTCTCCACCACCCTGCTTCTCTCTCCACCACCCTGCTTCTCTCTCCACCACCCTGCTTCTCTCTCCACCACCCTGCTTCTCTCTCCACCACCCTGCTTCTCTCTCCACCACCCTGCTTCTCTCTCCACCACCCTGCTTGTCTAACCTCCACCCTCCACTCTGCTTTTCTGACAAACTCCAGACGTATTACAGTAATGAGGTTACATGTGGTATTACTTGATTTTCAGGTTATTATCCATTATTCATAATCGGCACATAGATCAGCCAATCTGGTGAGATTTTATATGAAATATTAGGAAACAAATATTTTTACCTTAAAAAAACTGATGAATTTAAGTTTTTCTGATTTTTATCAACATATTAATTCCTTTCAAAATTTCCCCAGAGATACTCTTGTATATGCTGATTAAGAATAATGGGTTAAAATGGTAGCATTTCTGGTAATTCAATATATTATTTTATGGCGGCCAGGCGCTAGTGGCTACCAACATTAAACTTTGCAGGGTGACGAGTGGAACTCAGCGGACTGTCATATGATAGTCCGGATAGGTCACCAATTCCCCACTTCCATTTAACGGGGGTCAGACCCTCCTCCTTGAAGAAGGTCGGCTGTCTTCATTTAAGCGGAAGGCCTTCATTTTAGGGACTTGACCCCCCCCCCCCCTTTTCCCTTCCCTCCCTTTAAGGTCTTTGGGCCCCCCCATGCCACGCTTCATGAAGTCTATGGATATCAACTTTTCAGTGCGGAATCCATAGAGTTTTATCGTTTTGTTCCTAAACTAATATTAGGAACAAATAATAAATTATATGAATTCTATGAATTCAGATTTGCATTCTGGGTGCTCCCAACAGTTATATAAGTGGTACAACCGTCTTGGGATCTGAAAAAACTTAAGACTTTGATACAGTATGACTGAAGAATCTTTTATCATGTGTGTTGATATTATGCGATGTGTTGTGCAGGTGTGTGTGTGTGTAGTAATGGTGGGCTGTGTTGCAGGTACACCAAGACGACGGCGGGGGTAGGCGTGAGCGCCCAGAAGTACAACCCAGAAGTTCGCATTGACCACCCCGACACCTCTGTCTACACCCTCGCCGACAAGCTCAGAGGCGTCCGCAGGGTCAGTTGCCTCCTGCACGGTGACCTCGGCTCACTCTGGTGACCTCGGCTCACTCCGGTGACCTCGGCTCACTCCGGTGGCTACGGTTCTCTTGCTTATAGTGGAATCCTTGTCTTAGGGTACACTGATTATCAGACGCAGCAGAACAAACACTCAATCCCCCCCCCCCACACCTCCCCTGCCTCCCCCCTGAATCTCCCACATCAGATGCAGACATAAACGTTTAATTCAGTTTTCCGCCTAACACACACACATGGCAGTCAATACTGATGACCAATCAAAACACACTGGCCTGACCAATCAGTCAATCTGATTGTCCTCCTCGTTTGTTTGGTCCGTGGAATACGTAACGGCTGACCTCAAATTGGCAGTTTGATACTTCTTAACCTTATTTATTGTTGAACACAAGCGAAGTTAACCCCTACTCTTATAACCCATTCTCAGTAGCTCAATTTTCTTTCTCACGCTAACTACAGTAATTGGTTTTGAATGATAACCGATCACCTCTGTTAACTGTCATTAGTTATTTAAGGTTCAAGTCACTCGTTAATTGCTCTTACGATCGCTTTTCTGCGCTGTGTCGCCATACTGCCATTGGGTTCACCATACTCTTTTCTTAATCTCAACCACTTTCTACAAGAATGCTCTCACTTTGAGAGCAAGCTGTACCAGAATGAGTTTTAAAATTAAGATTAAACAAAAACCATCTGAGTTCACTAGATACATAGTTGATCATATTATACACAAGGGTTTGTTTCCAGAAGAGTATCTTTCCCATACAAATAACTTGTCTGTATTTTCAGCTGGTGTTGACCCAGCTGACGTGGCTGCCGAGGTCCGACGCGCGCCGCCGTCACAACGAAGGTCAGGCCGATGGGTCGGGCTCGGGGGTGGAGGGCCGGATGGAGCCCCGCAGCCGCAGTAGCAGTAGCAGCAGCCCCAGCGATGACGACGATGAGAACTACAATACCTACTACGACGATTATTACAATAACGATGCCGGCTCCGGCTCTGGCGAAGGCGGCTCCGAACCTAATATAATTGCAGAAGAAAGTAAGGCCATCCTATATGCTGATTTTTTACTAAAATAACACGGCAACAAATGGCAGTCCCCATGAGGCTGGTATACCAGTCCCCATGAGGCTGGTATACCAGTCCCCATGAGGCTGGTATACCAGTCCCCATGTGGCGGGTATACCAGTCCCCATGAGGCAGGTATACCAGTCCCCATGAGGCAGGTATACCAGTCCCCATGAGGCAGGTATACCAGTCCCCATGTGGCGGGTATACCAGTCCCCATGAGGCAGGTATACCAGTCCCCATGAGGCAGGTATACCAGTCCCCATGAGGCAGGTATACCAGTCCCCATGTGGCGGGTATACCAGTCCCCATGAGGCAGGTATACCAGTCCCCATGAGGCAGGTATACCAGTCCCCATGAGGCAGGTATACCAGTCCCCCTGAGGCAGGTATACCAGTCCCCATGAGGCAGGTATACCAGTCCCCATGAGGCAGGTATACCAGTCCCCATGAGGCAGGTATACCAGTCCCCATGAGGCAGGTATACCAGTCCCCATGAGGCAGGTATACCAGTCCCCCTGAGGCAGGTATACCAGTCCCCATGAGGCAGGTATACCAGTCCCCATGAGGCAGGTATACCAGTCCCCATGAGGCAGGTATACCAGTCCCATGAGGCAGGTTAAGCCTGCTCGAATATCTCCATTAACACTAATCTTCTTTCGAAGGCAATTGTGCTTAGCTCTAAATTGTTAACTTATTTGTTGTTTATTCACTAAACTTCAACCCAGGTGTACTCACCTAGTTGTGCTTGCGGGGGGGGGGAGGTTAAGGTTTTGCTCTTTGGTCGCGCCTCTTAACTGTCAATCAACTGGTGTGAGGCGGAGGGTAAGCAGAATAGACTGTACCTCCATACAAACGAGGAGAATGTGGGGGCAATGCTGGTAACAAGGAATAAACAAATAAGTGTGAAGTGATACAAGCACAGACCCGGTACACACCACTATTGTCAGCCGTTATTGTTACCACCACCACCACCTAGTTTTTTATGCACCCCATGCCCATCCTGCGAACGGTGGTGGACCCTATACCTATCCTGTGAACGGTAGTGGGCCCCCAAACCCATCCTGTGAACGGTAGTGGGCTCCATACCCATCCTGTGAACGGTAGTGGGCTGCATATCCATCCTGTGAATGGTAGTGAACCCCATACCCATCCTGTGAATGGTAGTGAACCCCATACCCATCCTGTGAATGGTAGTGAACCCCCATACCCATCCTGTGAATGGTAGTGAACCCCATACCCATCCTGTGAATGGTAGTGAACCCCATACCCATCTTGTGAATGGTAGTGAACCCCATACCCATCCTGTGAATGGTAATGAACCCCCATACCCATCCTGTGAATGGTAGTGAACCCCATATCCATCCTGTGAATGGTAGTGAACCCCATACCCATCCTGTGAATGGTAGTGAACCCCCATACCCATCCTGTGAATGGTAGTGAACCCCATACCCATCTTGTGAATGGTAGTGAACCCCCATACCCATCCTGTGAACGGTAGTGGAAAAGATTAGAGGCACATATAATGGATTCAGAAACTGAACCTCAAAATTCATGTAGCTAGTCAAGTTACACCATTGATGATGAGCTACTGTAGTTACATAATTGACAAAAGTGGGAAGCAGGCAGCTGGTCAAATGCCCTCCCTATTTGTCCTGAAGATTTTTCCAAGCTTGATTTTAAAATTCAGCATTGTTTTAGCATTTACGACTTCGGCAGGTAGGCGGTTCCAAGAGCTTATAGCCTTGTGGGTGAAAAAGTATCTCTTGTTTTCTGTCCTTCATTGTGGCTTATTGGTACCTATCAATGAGGTATGCATAATAATAATAATATGCATTACTCCTTGTTTTTGCTACATCTGACCTTTTGAAGAAGTTGTTTGGATCAACATCCTCCAAAATGTTTAGTATTTTAAAAGTTTCGACGAGATCCGCCCTCTCATTTCTAGTTTGCAGTGTTCTTAGCACTGTGGCTCTCAGTCATTCCTGGTATGAGAGTCGACTTAGTCCTGGAATGATTTTTGTCACCGGGTGGTGTACTTTCTCTAAATTAGGTATTTGGGTTTGGGGGATTTTGGCAATCCAACATGAGGCTAGTAACTCATTACCTGGTGAACATTCTTGGTTCACACCAGGCTTGTGCAACTTTGGAGCAGTTAACTCTTTGCTAACTCCCCATTTCTTGGGGATTACTTTCTGTAGCTCTTCCCCTGCCCCTGGCTAGTACCCTATTTGAGTTTTCTCCATGGTGACAGCACCAAGAACCCACCAATAGGAACCTCCCTCAAAACCAATATTGTATGAAATGGTAATGAAATGCATCTCTCTGATGGGCATTTGTGGCTCCTTAGGACCCTCCCTTTTCCATTAAGGAGCTTTGGTTTTCCATCTTCTGGCTATATAATTGAGGCTTCAAGGTTGGTGAATAATTCATTAATGCAGGGTAATAATTAATTTCATCAAGGACAGACAGCCTGTGTACATATATTCATTAGGCTTATGTCGCGGTCCAACTAGGTCGAACTACTGACCTTCCCCAGGATGCATCCTCGCAACAATTGCCTAACTTCTGGGTACTTATTTACTGCTAGATGAACAGAGGCAGTATGTGATAGGAAATGTACCCAATCATTTCTGTCTGCCCAGAATTCCCAACTGTGAGTCTGAGAACAAACCTAACAGTCTCCTTATGGTGTGCAGGTGGAACAAACAGGAGAATTGCTTCACCACCAAGTGATTTGTGAATCTTGGAGCTTCGCTGTCGTATTTTATACACATTGTTTACCATGGTGTGTCTGTTTTCATTTGCCCACCTTTCTTGCGGCCTTTAATTGTTTTGGGTGATCTAGGATTCCCTGCTACTTGCACCTCTTTAGAGGAAGCCAGTAGGTATAAATGACTCACAAGGGTCTGGCATAGATTGAATTGGGTGAAGCTTGAATGGCACCAAGGAGAAGTCATTGTTGGTTTAGCAGGAATTTGAAACATTTAGATTGCAGTGCATTAAAATTGCCCAAACTTCGTTATCCCTACTATGGGTCTTTCAGAGTTTTCACAAAATGTTCACTTAGAATAATAAGTTGTTCTGTCAAGAGGTGGTATTTAATACAGTACAACTTTCAGGGATTGATCTTCCACTACAGTAAATGTTCTAAAAGTACTTTTTTTTATTATCAAGCTTAGGTATACACAGCAATGTGCTGCTACCCTATTCTGTATGAAGAATTACAAAGTGTAAATAAAAAACTACTGTAGCTACAAGTTCATCTAATATCCTCATCGCACAGGAGGGTCATACATGAAATCAGGAGAGAATATGTAATGCGAGGCTAAGTTTGTAGCAAAAAATACTAAGCTTAAGTGTTAAACCATTTTAATACCAAATGAGTTTGGATAAAATATGTCATGTTTATTTTGTAAATTTTGTTTATAGTCATTTCTTAATTCATTGCTTTATTAAGGTAATCTTATTCTATTTTACAGCAAATAAAACATCTTCAGTAACTGCATCATCTGCCCAACTTGGAAGTAGTGTGCTGGTGTTGCTGTTTACCTTGGCAACTGCACTATATGCTTTCAATGGCTAATATTTGCCACGTAATTTGCTCCAAGAATACCTCAGATGTTTCAAGAAGACACCACTGATGCTCCAACAATGCTGGAATGTGTTCACAAATACCTGAGTCCACACCACAACACCCCTGGATCAAGAATGCAACATTTGTATTCCTAGGCTGAGTTTTGATTAACTGCCTTATGAATTCGAATATTGTACAAGATTGAAAATTTCCTCAGCCTCACAACTTTCATAAATTCATCCTAGTTAATATGCATGTACCCAGCACAATTTATTTTTATCCCTGCAGTTGTACATACAGCTAAATACTTTGATATAGTTAGGAACGAAAATTTGTTTAATGGATGCCACTTTGAACGAATGTTGTAACAAATTACTTTGTCTGGGGTGTACTAGGAAACTGGGTTTTAAAGCTAAAAATCATATCACTCGACTATAGTAACTTTCCAGACTACTTTTTGGTCCAAGTCTTTAGATTCAGATCTTTTGGGTCAGTGTTGCTACTGTGTCAGAATTAAACAAAATCTTTCAAACATTATTATAATGTGATTTGGAATGAGTTCTTTATATGCAACCTAATTACATGATAAAAATGTAGCATTTGTACATTATTTACAAAGAACTGACTATCTTGTTTGCAGGGCAGTATGCAAAAAAACATTATTAATGTGTTTCAGTTGCTGATTTTAAAAGGAAAATTATGATTCAATCTGTAATCAAAATTATTTATCAAATTGATTTTCTAGATCAAATTTCCACTTCATGGATGAATACATGACCATAGAGGAATGCATTATTTTTAATCAAGTAGAAAATATTGCATTTTTCATGTACATTTTTAGTATAAATATTTTAGCTTTTTAATTTGCTTGCCATTTTTATTGGTTTATATTGTTGTGACTAATTTATGTCAGGTTGGCTCTCATGGAGTGAGAGTAACTTGAACAAATGAGTATGAATTGGCATTATAAATTACCATATGGTATTTTTCTTTTTGTCAGAAGCTTTAGGCAGATATTACTTGTATTCAAGGTTTCCATTTGCATTTGAGTAGAATGTATTACTACTTAAATCTGAACATGAGATTATTGTACACTGTAATTTCATTCTCTATTTATTTCGCTCATCAAATGCTGTCTTCTTTTACTTAAAGCAGGGCGTCCCATGCAAAAGAATCTATAAGTTAATTGTTATTTTACACATTTAACATCTTCCTATATCTCTCTAATTTTCTTTCTTTAATTTTTCCATGGTGTAAGTTTTGTTTATAGCCTTATGCATAATATCACAAAGATATAAGAAATCCGGTATCAAAAAATAAAGCCATCCCATATACTATTGATGTACTGTACTAATTTCTGAAGCACCTGGCATGAAATATTTCATATTATAGAAGTAAATTTTTTTAATAGGCAAATTAAAAAAAATGCATTAGTACCGTAATCACACTTATCCATTTAAGAAGGCACAGTTTCCTTTACAGCTGAGTCAGCTAACGTTTACAGGCTTGGATGCTGTACTTCATACAGTGAAACTGTCAAATAACTGAGGGGGGGGGGGGCTGCAGTGAAATATGGATCATTAAGTAAAGTAGTTTTCAGCAGATCATATTTTTCCCAATTTATGCCATTCTTGTGTTTTTTTTTTTTTTTATCTTTGAGTTGCGGTCAGGCAAGGTGTCAGGAATATTATTCTGAAAATAGTTAAGAGATTATTTTTCCTTTAATGGGTTCCATGATATTTTGTATAAAATCATGGATGGAAGGAAGTGTTTTGATGGGTCTAGTTTGAAAAATAGTGTATGCCTAGGTTTCATTCTGAGAGTCAAGAGTTTCACTCAGTCACAGCTGAATACTGTATTGACCCATACCTCCTTAAATACTGGATGGATTTTAATAACAAATATATATATATATATATATACATACATACATACATATACAGTACATGTAAAATTAACTCGATGAAATGTAACATATTACTTTATGTAATTTACACAATATTCTAACATTCTCTTTATTACATTCTCTTCATTACTCTCACTGACTAAAGTTATAATTAATTCTTTTTAATCTCTTAAAAACATTCCATCTTACTTAACATCAGTAGTTCTTCCACCGATTGTAAATAATATAGTCAATGTTTTGGCAAGTGATTGAAGGTTTGCATGTTGTGTAAGTTGGTATGAACCTGAAGTCATAAGAGTTAGTTTAGTTCATTTATTATGCACCCCATACCTATCTTGTGGGCAGTAGTGGAAAGGGTTACAGAGACACATAATGGGCTCAGGGGCTGAACCCCACAATTTCATTTAGCTCAGCAAGTTACAGTCTTGAGCTAGGTACAAATTTCAATTAACATTGTCACATCAACAATTGGTTCGAGACCGACCACAAGTACAGTTTCTAAACTAAGCAACTGACATATGTGGAGAGCTAGTATCACAATTGATATGTTTATCCTGCACACATGCCCCCCTCCCCCTTCCCATCCAGTGGGTAGCGGTGGATAGGTTACAATCACTTAGTTATTACCTACAGTTAGCAAACTGGGAATATTTGGCTAAGATTTCTGGTAGCAGATCATTTTGAATGAAATATTATCACATCTCTTGAACATTTGTTATAGAAGTTTCTCTAAATTCGCGTATCTCTTCTCACTCCATCACATAGTGACAAAAGGTGTATGAATAATTTTGTTGACACAGTTAACATTTGGTTAGGTTACTGACCACATTGAATTAAAAGTCAAATTAAGTCATAAGATGTGCAAGATTATCTAAAAAAAAATCAGTCGAGTTTAATCATAGATGAACACCATGAAAAAGGGAAAAATCTATTTTCTATTTTTACATATACTGTGGGGTTGATATGTCACCATAGTATAAACTTCATTATCACTGGTTCAATGTTATCCTTACATGAGCTATGCATAGTTCAGCAAACTGCTGTTGTCAGGGCATGGACCATGCTCTTCTATTTTGTTTCAAAAGATTTATTGCCATAGCTGGAATCACGGAATCATTTGGTTTAGCAAGCATTTTTATTTACATGCTGCTTAATTGTGAAACTACTACAGTACTTTGATTCATATGAATTTTGTTGTGCAGGTAGTAGTCATTAATACTACACAAGCCAAAAGTTATTGATTGTATCATGACATTTGTAAATGTATTATCTTTTCTAGATAATTTTTTAATCTAGAAATATATCAGTGAACATCGATTAAAGATATCTTCACTGCGGTTTTATATCTTTATCATTATTATTAATCTGTGCTTCCGACATTGTACATATAATTTGTGTATCTAGAGAAAGGTAACACAGTAGCTACAAAATTAAAGCAGAAACCATATTCCAATACCATTTAAATATTAGTTTAATTCATTGTGTCGGGAAACGGACAGCCATAATAAACATACAGTGCATGTTAGACTTATATCAAGGTCGTCCCCAGGGCCGAATTACTGACCCTTCCCAGGATGCAACCCCACAACAAGCTGACTTACTCCTGGGAACCTATTTCCTGCTAGGTGAACAGACCCATTAGGTAATAGAAACGTTCCCAACCATTTCAGTCCTGCCCGGGATTCGAACCCAGAATTCTTGATTGTAGGTCAAGAATGAACCCCACTGTATTACCGGGACCCTGTAGTACCCAGTAGGTACTACCAGGATATGATTTAAAAAAATGTAATTGAAATCACAGTTCAACACAGTAGACACAGTTTATTGTATGTTTTTGAGTTACTCATATTTACACTACTTAATCAAAACGTTCTTGGTGAACGATTTACATAATGTAATATCTTATGCCAGTAACGCTGAAACAAGTGTTATCTTTAAAGCTTCTTAAAATTATACTTGAATATCATTGACTTATTGGCAGTTGTATTGAGAAAATAGTCTGGACTTCTTAGATCGCAGTGAGCAAACTTTAAATTTCATTTTATATATATATATATATATATATATATATATATATATATATATATATATATATATATATATATATATATATATATATATATATATATATATATATATATATATATATATATATATATATATATATATATATATATATATATATATATATATATATATATATATATATATATATATATATATATATATATATATATATATATATATATATATATATATATATATATATATATATATATATATATATATATATATATATATATATATATATATTTATATATATATATATATATATATATATATATATATATATATATATATATATATATATATATATATATATATATATATATATATATATATATATATATATATATATTTATATATATATATTATATAAATAAATAATTGGTGTAAATCACAAAGAAATTAACACGTAAAGAACAATGTGAAAATGTCAGACCACAAAGGGAGGATTAAGACAGGAATTTCCTTAAGTACTCTAGTGTTTAATAATACATCTTCAGAAGGATGAAGATATATTATTCTGAAGATTTCAGAAGATCTTCAGAATAATAATACATCTTCAGAAGATCTTCGGAACAATAATACATCTTCAGAAGATCTTCAGAACAATACAACATCTTCAGAAGATCTTCAGAACAATAAAACATCTTCAGAAGATCATCCTTCTGAAGATGTATTATTAAATACAAAGTACTTAAGGAAATTCCTGTCTTAATCCTATATTATACAGTACATATATATATATATATACTGTACATATAATGAGGGGGGACCTTCGATAAGCCGCCGGCTTCCTGTCATTCATCATAGAGACCACTAGGGTTAGTGGCCCTCAGATAAATCAAATAAAACATATATATATACACAGTATATATATATATATATATTGCTATATATACATATATAGCTCCTCAGTCTTAATAAGAACCATCTATGAAGTAAATTCAGTAATTAAAGTGCACAACCATATAAATGTCAAAAATGCTTTATTATATTTGTGAACATTACTGACACTTAAAGGCTTAAATAAGCAACACTGTAGTCACCAAAAGATTATAGGTAGCCCTACCTTGAGTGTGTTAGATTTTTCTTTTTGTTAATGTACGATTTATGTTTGTCAATGTTAAGGTAATTTTTATGAAATTGAATTTGCACTGTATAAACAATTAAATCTGGAAATACTGCTATGACTCAACTGTTTGTATAAATTCCTGTATACAAACTTATGGGTCAGGGCAAATTGCTGTAGCATCATTTAGCAATATAATGTTGGATTGGTTGACTCAATGGAACACGGAGAGCCGGGTTATATATGGCCCTCTTTCTCCAAAATTCATGTGCACACATACTCATGCACACATATACACATGTGCATATGAATACACTCAAAATCACATATGGTTGGGTGAGCATACATGTGTGCATGTGCGCACGCACGCACACAAACACACACACACACACAGTTTTAGCTGTAAACATTACTGTCTCCATTTAATACTTACAATATATAGTCATTCACATCCACCTGTCAAAAATCTTTGTACATGTTCTTGTAAAATACTTATATGAATAATTCTTTTACTTATAAAATATGGTAATATGCATGACATACTCTTGGATCTGACTGGCCACATCTCTCATTTCAAGGAAATCTGTTCTTTTGGAGAGAAAAGTGTAAATAAGATTTATTTTTTAGTCTCGTATTGTTGATAGTTAAAGCTAGATTTCTTGCAGTGTCTGCGGAATGCACCCTAACAGGTCTGCAACAGTGTCGGGGGATTGCACCCAAGCCAGATCTGCAACACTTGCAGAGCTTAACATCTAAATCCACAGTAATTTAGTTACTGTAATGTATGAGTAATTTTTTTATATAATTGTGATAGAATAAGCTGTGAATATTGGTTGGTTATGAGTTAATATTATTTAGTATGGATTTCCTAGAAGTGTTTTAAGTGTTTGTCTGACCATTTGCAAAAGGAAAACTTAAAATAATTTTAGCCATAATTTTCATAGGTTTGCTTAACATGGTTAATTATAGTACTGTACATACAGTAGTCCTAAATTTCAGACTCAGATTACAGAAAACTTAATATTCTGTATAAATACCATGTTATATATATAAATATAAATATATATATATATATATATCTATATATATATATATATATATATATATATATATATATATATATATATATATATATATATATATATATATATATATATATATATATATATATATATATATATATATATATATATATAATATAATATATATATGAGGTAAATGAATTATAATGTATCCAATTTTTTAGTTCACCTGGTGAACTTGAGTATTATGAATCCTTTGAGAGTACAGTACATGTATAGCTCATGATGTGAATAAACAGCTGATCATGATGCTAAGAATGCACTGTATATGCATTTGGGAATACTGTATAGTAAAATCTTTTGCCAGATCATATTGGTTGCTCAAACCTTTCTTCTCATAAAAAGTAATAATCAGAAATATTTATGTGAACGTTTTTTCCATGTACTGTAGTTTGCTTTGCGTTGTTCACAGTGTATTTTATTTTACCCCTCATGCAATAGAGGATTATATCTGTGAATGACATCAAAGCTTGTAGCAGTTGTTAGTGCTTAGCTCTGCAAGTCGTCAGCAGATTGTTGGCTCTATATTAACCTTACCAAACTGTGATAAAAATACAGAAATGCTGGTGTTTCTCAACATTCATGTCAGCAAGAATGTCCCATGTACATTATGAGACAAAATTTGTGGTACATATACATATTGAAAACAAATATGAAATAACCAACTCCTGAACTATAGTTCTATCTCACATTTACAGGAATGTGAACCTCAAATAACTAGGCCCAGGCAGGATACATCAGCCTCCACTGTCATATTTATGGCACATTTTTGTTGGCTGTCATCTTATGTTAGAGCACAGAGTCATGATAGACATAATGGTGTTTGACTCTTCCAGTGATGTTAGACTTGCATTAGAAAGGGCATTAACATTACTGATGAAAAATTTTCTGCAAGTTCATAATGAATAAAAGGGAAGCTAGTCATTGATTGCTATTGACAAACTGGTGAGAGAAAAAAAGTCAGAATGTGTTGTGATACATGATTCATTATTTTCCACTGCCTCCATGTGTATGTGCATGTGTGTATGTATCTATATACATAGTATATACACACATATACACACGCACAAATAATAATGAGGTTCAAGATAGGATTTATTGATAATGCTAATCCTATATGTCCACATAGATTTGAGCATGATAATGTTGATTTTGAATCAGCTTGAGAATATCTATATATGAAATAACAAAAAAATTTATGCTGATAGCTTGTTAACTTAAGTAGGATGTAAGAAAATGTTTATTAAGCTTTTGTGTCACTACTCATCCTTTGAACGATGCAATTAGCCTTATCATTTGATAGTTACATAAAATATTGAAGCTAGATTATGTCGATTTAATTACAGTTAAAAATACA